TTTTCTATCTACAGTTTGCATTTTATGTAACTGGAATATTAATTATGTACCCTTTTTGCCTGGTTTGTTTCACTCAACATAATGTTTCTGATTCACTCATAGTGTTGTGTGTATCAGTCGTTCAGTCTTTTATATTGTTGACTAGTACTCCATTGCATGGATGTAACACAATGTGTTCGTCCATTCACCTGCTGATGGGTATTCCGGTTTGTTTCAAGTCTTTGACCATGGTGAGTAAAGCTACTACGAATATACACGTACAAGTATTTGTGGGGTCATATTTTTTTCTTTCCTTTGGGCAAATGTTAGCAGTACCATGGCAGAGGTGTATAATGCACATTTAACTTTTTAGGAACACCCAAACAGTTTTTGAAAGTGGTTGTACCATTTCACACTCCTGCCGGCAGGAGTACAAGAGTTCTATTTGTTTCACAGCCTCGCTAACACCTCGTGTTCTCAGTCTCTTCAGTTTTTAGCCGTTCTAGTGAGTGTGGAGTGATAAGATTCTCCTTTTTCTCTTCTCTTTTCTTTTCCTTTCCTTTTCTCTTCTTTTCTCTTTTCTCTTCTTTTCCTTTTCTTTCCTTTCCTTTCCCTTTTCTCTTCTCTTTTCCTTTCCCTTTTCTCTTCTTTTCCTTTCCTTTCCTTTCCTTTCCCTTTTCTCTTCTCTTTTCTTTTCCTTTCCTTTCCTTTCCTTTGCTCTTCTTTTCTCTTCTTTCCTTTCCTTTTCTTTAGGGGCTTGCCCTCTCTCCTCCACATTGTCTTAGCAAGTCTTTGACTTTCTCCCCTCGCTCCCCTTTGCTGGCCACCTACTTCCACCCCGTGACCTGCAGATGGGACGCTGGTATTCTCCAAAGCTTGGGTCCCAGCCTCCTCAAGGCATGATCTCTCTTGGCCAGCCATTTCCCTCATATTCTCAGATCTCCTCTCTGCCTTTACCCCTGAGATCCAGGCCTGCATTTCCTGTGGCCCCCAGATGTCACCACAGGGACGTCACATGGGCACATCCATCTCAAAATGACCAAAAGTAAACATACTGTTACCTATCCCTTCCTCAAACCTGTCCCTCACCCTGAGGAGTTCACAGTTTCCATTATTGTGTCCTGAACAAACCACCATATAGATCTTACATTTGCCTCCGAATTAATCTATAAGCTTAATGAAATTCTGAGAAAAATATCAATATTCAAGAATAGTTAAGACAGTTTGAATAAGAAGATTATGGGGTCGCCAGGCCCTTGCTACGAACTGATTGTAACACAAATGTCACAGTGTGCAGTGATAGACAAAGAGCCAGAAGTCAGTCCCACGTATTAGAAAAATTTGATATACAAGCTGATTACATATCCATCGGGGTAAGGACAGACTGACTGCTCACTAAATGGTACTGGGACAACATGGCAAATGTAAAATTAGATCCCTATTTCACACCGTACACAAAAACAAATTCAAGATGGTTTGAATACCTGGGGGTAAAAAGTAAAAGAGAAAAGTTTTAGAACAAAATATAGGAAGACTATCTTTCAGACACTAGAGTAGCACAAGATTTCTTAGGCACAAATCTTTAAAAAGCACAAGCCACGAAGGATGTCATTGATAAATCTGATTTCAACTAAAAGGTAAAGCTTCTGTGCACAAAAGACAACACAAGCAGAATAAGGGCCACAGTTTGTGAAATATATTTGCAACCTACATAAAGGTCAGAGGATGGCCATCCACAATATATAAATAACTCTTCAAAATCAACAAGAAAAACACAAGTCAAAGGAAGGTGGACAAAGGATTTGAAACAGAAATTCCCGAAGATGGAAACATGAGCACATGCAAGAAAAATGTGTTCAACCTCACTAGCTAGCAGTCAGGACAAGGTGTGTTAAAACAACGAGATATCATCAGATTGGCAAAAATTGCACAGTTTGGCAACGCCGGGCATGGGGGTGATGAGGTTAAAAGAGAATTCTCAAATCCTGCTGGTGGGCATGCGAGCTGGTGCACATATTTCCACGCAATTCCATTTCTTGGCATATTCTTTGGACACACTGTGTACATGAGTCAACAGATCCAGAGTTATTTTATGCGTCATTATTCATAACAATAAAAAACTGGACACAGCCTACGTGAGTATCACCAGAAGAATGGATACGTTACAGTAATACACAGGGACGCTCCACAGCAGCAAAAATGAATGAACCAGAGCCTTCTGCGTCAACACGGGCAAATCTCAGAAACCTACCGTTGGGCAAATAAGCAAGCTGCAGAAAATCTGCAAAACATGACTTACGCAGTTACAAAGCATGCAAGACCATCTACGTGCAGATTTGTGACTCCTACTTAGTCGCAGGAGCCCTATCCCTCTGTTTCCCTGGCACGGTGTTCAATACACGGGAGGTGTCTGGCGAAGGTTTACAAAGTAAAGGAATACATGCACGAAATAACTTAATCACACAACCGTGGCCGTTAAGTGAAGGAGCAGAGAGAGGAGACACTAGAATCTTTGTGCACTAATTACGTGTGTGTGTGTGTGTGTGTGTGTGTGTGTGTGTGTGCGCGCGCGTGTGTGTGAGGCGGGGATTGTAGAAAGTATCGGCTGGCCCCAGCTGCTATGGAGGAAGATTCTAAAGGTTCTCCTTTAGGCGCTGGAAATCTACACAACCTGGGGGAGCTGGGGAAGGTGAGAAGCATTTGGAGAAGGGTGGAGCCTAGCATGCTTGTGTGCACACACGAAAGATCAAAGAAGCAATAGAAAGAAAAGCAACATATCCAGTGCCCCGGTAAACCCGACTTTATATAACACGCAGCCACCTGATTCATGAGAGACTTGTAAGAAAGCAAACAGCCAAAGCATGTTTCTCTGGGGCTGGCCTGGCAGCAGCCGTGAAAGCAGAAGGTCCCTCCTCCCCCTGGAGTGTCTGCCGTGCGGCGCTGTCATGGGGCACGGCATCCCAGTGCCACGCTCTGCTCGGAGCTCTCGCGTCCCCCCCGTCCCTCCTGGGCCCTGTGGCTTTTAGCTTCCACCCCCTCCTGCCAGCTCTGGTCTGTGCCAGAGGCGGCAGGTGGACACCCATTCTGTAATTATCACCATGGCCAGGCGTCTGGGACCTTTCCCTCGTCACCCAGTGATTCATCTGTGACGCTCATTGATGATCCTGCGCCGCTCGGTCCAAGACGGGCCCATCAGAAAGTCGGAAAAGGAGAAACCACAGCATCGCTGCAAATCACCGCTTCGTGCATAATTGAACTACACTTCTGTCATTCTTTCAAGCGCTTCGAGTCATTTCGAAAGACAAATGGATACCATGCGGTAGCCCTCTAATTAGAAGGGCTTCCCCACAAAAGGATTTTTGGAAGATACGCCTAACCCTGCTGCTCAGTGAGTGCTGTCACCAATCCCCATAATCGTGTGGATCATTCAAGCTCCCAGAGAGGACGCCCAGCCGAACTCTGGGTGCTCAACCTGCTTTCCCAAAAAACATCACCCACCCCTGACACGAGTCCAAGGCGGAGTGAAGAGAGAAACAGCAGGTGAAGATCCTGAAAGTTGGGATCTGCGTGGGTCAGTGACTCCCCCGGGTACCGCCCCCTCTCTGTCACCCCAGTCGATGCACCGGTCCCTCCCTTGAACACGCACATTCACGGGGG